CCATTCATTAGACTTTACACTCACAACCTGGTATTAACTGAGACCCCAGTCTCATCTGTGCAAATCAGAGGAAGGAGTAGAGTGACAGGCAAGACTGTCTCAAGACTCAGACATGTCTGGGGAAGTAATATCAAAGTAGAATGGTCGAGAAAACAGAGCTGGATCTTGTTTGCCTTTGTTCTTTGTTATCTTTATTGGTATATACTATTCAAAGTCATAACCATTGAATTTGTTTTCTTACTAGTAAAATGGAATTAATGATATTACCTGCCACAGGGGTGTTTGTGGGGATTGAACAGCATAATGGATGTAAAGCACTTAGTACATGCCTGGCATACAGTTGGTGTTCAATAAAGGTAGCTTTTATCATCATAGAGAAACCTTAAAATCCCAGCCAATAGTCTTACAGAGAGCAGGGACCACAGCTGATTTCTAAGCTTTTCGGGGAGGCGTTCTGACTGGGGTATGACTCAGGTTATGACCATGTCCATAAAATAGCAAACAGACCTCTCCGGGGGTTAAGTCTGTTGCCTCCTTCCCTCCTCCTTCCAGCCAAATGCTTACCCCAATGAAGTTGTTTTTCCAGCACTTGGATGTTATCCTTAGTGCCTATAAAACCCTCAAGGGTTATTTAAAGTGCTTAATTCCAAATAAGCACTAAGAAACTATGTGGATTTCTTATTTTATTATTTGTCAAAATAGGAGAAACTTCACAGGGAAGTTTTAGAAACTGCTCTTCTCAATTTGACTCTATTTCCTCTCTTCTCTCTCTCTCCCCCGGGGGGGATGAGGGTTTAATGCTGACCTTGATTTCTCAAAACAAACTTGTAAAATAGGTATTACGTCCACTTTACAGATAAGAAAGCCAAAGCTCTAGCAAGTAAAATGACTTGGCCACATCTAGGAAGTGGATGACCCGGGATTCAAACTTTCCTCTGATTCCAAAGCCAAAGTACTAACCATCTTAAATTTGAATGTACACACTGGGGGCTTGATACTGCCTCAGTAGGTCTACCTGGGATTCTGGAATCTGCATATTCACAAATACCCAGGTGACTGAGATCCAAGAAGGTCCAGAGGAGGCACTGCCCTTGGCCATATAGCATTCACAAAGCCCAGTTTCTGCGGCAGGGATCCCCAAGGCCGTGGGATTTTCTCCCACGGTCATCAGTAAAATGCCTTTACTGTAACATCAGTACACCTTGGAATGAAGCGAAGCCATGTGTATGTTTTGGATATTTGCTTGCTTAGAAAATGAGTCCCAGACCAGGGTAGGGGCACACCTGGTTTCTGAATGATTCTACTGTACTTGTTGAGGTCTTTACCATCTCCCCAGGACAGAGCCAGATCAACTGCAGTGACCTTTCCATCTCAGAAATCCTAGTCGTCCATCCTCTGGCTGCCTTGTCTTATCTTCTACTGACCCAGTTGGCTTTCCTACTTCAGAACAGGTTTCTAATGCCTTACATCAGTGAGAGAGAACATGGCAAACTGAGAGATGTGTGGTATCACGTGGAGGAGGTGGCGTGGGGTACAGCAGTACTTTTCACACTAGAGTCCATGAAGCCTTGGAGATCTGCGGAGGTGTGATGTAGAGGAGGGACAGGGGAAGAGGGGAAGACTGGGCAGAGTGGGGTTCTGGGCCCTTGATCGGGGCAGCTGCATTGAGTTCTGTTTCACGTGTAGAACTGGAATTCCTAAAAGATTCGCTTGAAAAAAGTGTTTCACTGGGGGAAAAAAATGAAAAACTAGTGGAGAAGGAACATCACTCTAGGTCAAAAGGAGGCTAATTCAAGTCTTCAGCTAACTAGCTGGATGACTTTGGGCAATTTCATTTCTCTAGGTCTCAGAGTGCTTACCTGCAAAAAAAAAGGGTGGGGAGGGGTGGAGGTTAGCCTTATTGACACCTGTCTTAGTCTGTTAGGACTGCCATAACAAAATACCACAGACTAGGCGGCTTAAACAAAAGTATATTTTCTCACAGTTCTGGAGGCTGGAAGTCCAAGATCAAGATGTGGGCAGGTTTGATTTCTGCTGAAGCCTCTCCCCTTGGCTTGCAGATGGCCGTCTTCTTTCTGTGTCCTCACATGGCATTTTTTACATGCATGCGCACCCCTGGTGTCACTTTCTCTTCTTTCTCCCGGCATTTTCTGACCCGTCCCTTCTCTCTTTTGGTCCCCATCTTGCACTAGTCATGCATTAACCAACCTGCCTAGTCCTGCTAGACAGTGAGCTCTCTGAGGGCTGCTTCTGATAGTACTCTGTGTCCCAAGCACCCAGTGCACAGCAGATGCTCAACAAACCTCAGATGTTTCTCGAAAGGAGCCTTACGCATTGTTATGGACTGACTTGTATCCCCCCAAATTCATACGTGGAAGCCTTAACCCCCAGTATGACTGTATTTGGAGATATGGCCTTTCAGGAGGTAATTAAGATTAAATGAGGTCATAAGGGTGGGGCCCTAATCCTATAGGACTAGTGTCTTAAGATGAGATGTGAGACGTGAGAGGGGTTCGGCACTTAGAGAACGGGAGGAAGGGCATTTCGGCAGAAGGGGCAAAGGCCTGGAGGGTTCCTTCCGAGACCCACAGGTCACATTCAGGAGGCCAGAGCACAGTCTGAAGTGGGGAACCCATGAAGAGAGGCTGTGGTGGTGAGGCCACGGGAGGCCTCCTGGGCAGTGCTGAGCACATGGATTTATCTGACAGCAAAGGGTCACCTCTAAAAAGTTCTATGCTGAAGAATAGTCCACTCCTTTCTGCATTTTAAAAAGCTCTGACGTTCTGCAGTCCAGCTGTTCTCTGTCCCTCCTGTACCGCTATGTCATTTGTGGCTAACTGATGTCAGCCAATCAGTAATGGATTACACATTTGCCAAACGCATTAGGTCTCTTTTTATATATATACATACAACTTCTAAAGATTACTTTCCGTTTACAGTTAATACAAAATATCGGCTATAGTCCCTGTGCTGTACAGCATATCCTTGAGCCTGTCTTACACCCAGTAGACGGTACCTCCCACTCCTCCACCCCTATATGGCACCACCAGCCCCCCCCACTGGCAGCCACTAGCTTGTTCTCTGCGTCTGTGAGTCTGCTTCTGTTTTGTTATATTCACTAGTTTGTTGTATTTTTTAGATTCCACATATAAGTGATATCGTACAGTATTTGTCTTTCTCTGTCTGACTTATTTCACTTAACATAATGCCTTCCACATCCCTCCTTGTTGCAAATGCATTAGTTCTTGATTTCTCCTCTGACGGGCTACTGTGTGTGTGTGTGTGTGTGTGTGTGTGCGCGCGCGTGCGTGTGTGTGTGTGCGTGTGCGCGTGCGCGTGTGTGTGTGTGAATTACATCTTGATTATAAATTGCCTTATGGACTCTGTGGTCTACTTCCCTTTGGTCTAGAGAGCAAGCATACATCATACTTGACTGTTTTATTTCATTACAGCCAACACCCATATGGATAATTAGGATCAAGACTGTTAAATTTGTGGTAATAAGCACATGTGAAAGCCTCATGACCTTGAACTCTGTCTGCTAAAACTACTCAAGACCATAGGTCCACATCCTAAGAAACAAAAGGCTCACCACTTCCTGAAGGAGAGGATGAGTTGATGATTTTAAAGAGTTGTGCCTTACCATCATTTCATAGAAGCTGGTAGAGTAGTTAGAAAGAAGAAAGGGGAGCAACATTTGGGCTTTAATAGGTAATTGTTAGTAAAGCCCTTTTTAATAAAACTGATTCTAGCACTCTCGGAGAAATTTTCAAAAGACATTTCCTTCCTTATTGTAAATTCTGTCCTAAAAGAGGACAGGTGTTAAAGAAAGCATTTAGGTGCACAAATAGAGATATATCAATATACATTGTCTGGGTAATATGATTATAAACAAAATCGTCCCCCAACCCAGAAAAATCTCTCCATAAAAGTAGTAGAAAAGGAAAAGAGTTTTATTGTTGAATAAGCATTAAACCAGAATGTGGTGCACATCACAGTCAATCTGCAAAGACAGAATGAAGTTACACATTTTTGTAGGGCCGAGCAGATATAACCCATTACACACATATTTTCAGGATATTCATGAAATGCAAAGGCAACACAACTATGAAAAATGTGTAATTTCTATGCATGGAAGAGTGCTTAGAAGTCACTAAGGCAGGGATGATGTAGTAAGATTGACACCCAATCTATGAGTTCTCGTGAAATACACTAAGAATGAGGGTACTACACTCTCCCCCTCCGACGGGCGTGTCTTTGGACTTCATTATTAAAAGCCTTTCAACCTGTGTAAAGTACGGAAGGGCTTCCTGTTAAAACTGGACAGTGAATATTGTTAGGATTGATAAGTCAGCACTCACATTCTATTCTCAAATGCTAGGGGAAGCCTACCAAGTAATTGTGCCTGTTTTCTTGTTTTTAATAGATTTTACAGTATTCCTTAATGGGGACAAGGGGAGGAAGAAGAGAAAAGAGATGTTCATGAATTAACAATCGAAATTGCTCCTCATGAATTATTTATTTTCCAGGAAAAGTCATATGAGATATTGTTGTGCCTGATGTCAAGGGTGAATTGTCCCTTGCACACAGGAATAGGGCAAGGTCACCAGTACCTGAACCTCAGGCCATTTTCTGCCCCATCTCAGCAAAGAAGATTTGCATGAGGAGTCAGAAAAACAGTTTGAGCAGTTATCCTCCAACTCTCCTGTGTTCAAAATAGTGTGTCAGATGGAAATGAAGTTGGAAGAGACAGACAGAAAGAAAAAGAGAAAGAAAGGCAGAGAATATAAAGGCTAAAAAATAGGAGAAGCTAGGTGGAGAAAGGAAAAAGAAAATATACTAGGTCTGTCTCAGGCTGTACATTTTTCATTTCTTAGCTACCTCGCTATGTATTTATATTTTTAAAAAAATTATTGTGGGGCTTCCCTGGTGGCACAGTGGTTGAGAGCCATGAGCTCTCATGAGCCGTGAGCCGTGGCCGCTGAGCCTGCGCGTCCAGAGCCTGTGCTCCGCAACAGGAGAGGCCACAGCAGTGAGACGCCTGCGTACTGGAAAAAAAAAAAAAAAATTATTGTGACAACCAAGTGCTAAAATCTCTATTTGTAGGTTCAGGATAGAAGAACCCCTCCCCCTCCTCGGCTCCCTCTGCCCAGCCCTTTAATGGAGGTGGAAGGAATTGAAAGCCCCCAAAAGTCCACATTGAGGTTTCAGGACACTGAGTACCTCCACCAGTCTCTCAAGATTTGCTTTGCTGGGTTTTTCATAGGTTCCTGTGACTGGTTGGTTTCAGCCATTCATTCAACAAACAACCTCTGAGCACTTATTATATACCAAGCACATCATTGAGCTGAGAGTACAAAGATGAATAGGACACAGTCTCTCCTCAGGGAGTTCATTCTAGGGCCTTGCATCCTAGAGTGTGGGACCAGCAGCAGCATCACCTGGGTGATTGTTAGAAATGCAGGTTCCCAGGCTTCACCCCGACTTGCTGAATCAAAATCTGCATATTTAATAAGCTACCTGGGCAATTCTTAAACATATTGAAGTTTGAGAAGCACTGACCTAGTAGATTATTGGCAGGGGAGAGGGAGATGCTCTTCTGTTTCTCAATTCTTCCGTTCGTTCAGCAAGACAAAGGAGGTGCTGACGGCCTGGAACTCACATTCTCATGGGGGAGAAAGGCGAAAAGAAGAAAATACATGAGATGGTTACAGGTCATGCATAGTGCTATGAAGCAAATAAACTGAAATATGATAGAAAGAAACCAAAATGAACTATGACAGGTAGGGTGGTGGAAGCCTTCAGGAGTAAGTTATTTCTATTTTGTATCTAGCTTTCTGTTATAAAAATGGAAACGTAGTCACTGGTCCTATGTGAAAAGAGCCAAAGATTATACTTCGTCCTCCTTTCCTTTTCTCCCCACTCCCCATCCCTCTGCCTCTGGCACCAGCCCTGAAACTATAGACGCCACCTAGCAGGTACAGTCACAGCCAGGCCCATTGAAAAGTCCAGGCTGCAAGCAACTAAGAATTTGGATGCAAACTGAATTTTAAAGCCCAAGAAGAAGTACTGGGGTTACCTTTCTGGTTGGGGTAAAAAGGCATTAGAGAATATCGAAGGGCTGGTAACTGGTGTGTAGCTTCCTATCTCACTGTTTTCTTGCATCACTGCAGTCATGGGCCAGAGAGTGTGCTGATGGGGATTGATGAGTGGGAGGGTGGCCTGCAAGTAAAGATGAGCAATGGGCATATGTCGATGCGTGCAATCACAACAGATTCAGACCTTCTCATCACCTATAGTGCTGGCGTTAACCTGCAGCAAAATCAGTGTTAGGCCTTAGTTCAGCCCAAAAGTATGTCGTGAGCATGCATTTATTTTCAGCACAGATCCTAATGCCCTACAGTTAGACCACCTGAGGCACAACCCAGTGATTGCACAAAGAGAGGCTATGGATAGACCAGTAGGTGGAGGACAGGGTTTCAGGTATTGCTCCTCTAGAAATTATGTGTCAGGAAGGAGCGCACAAGTCAAAGATGGCGCACTCTTCCTGACCTGTGAGCATTGTGCCGGCTGTCCAGCTGTTCATGTCATTTACAGTATATTTAATGCGGCAAATCCAAACCACAGGCAGAGAAAGGGCATCTGCTCACTGTTCCAGTTATCTCTTGCTGCATGACAAACTATCCCCAAATTTAGTGGCTTAAAACTTTGTCAAAGTTTTGTTGAAAAAACTCACACCCATTAGGATGGCTGCTAACACCCAGTTTTATTATATCTCACAATTGTGTGGATCAGGAATTCGGGAAGGGTTTAGCTGAGCAGTTCTTCTGCTCCATGTAGCATCAGCTAGGGTCACTTGGTGGCATTTGGCAGGTAGATCAGTAGTATGGAGGGTCCAAGAAGGCTTCATGCATAGGTGGGGCCTTTGCAGGAATGGCTGGGAAGGCGGGCTCAGCCAGGCCATTCTCCCTCTCCACATACTACCAAGGCCTCTCTATGTGGTCACTCCAGCAGGGGAATCAGAAACTGCCAGTTCTCTAAAGGCTCCCAACATCACTAATCACCAGAGAAATGCAAATCAAAACCACAGTGAGATATCACCTCACACCCATTAGGATGGCTAGTCTCAAAAAAGCAGAAAATAACAAGTGTCAGAGAGATGTGAAGAAATTGGAACCTTTGTGCACCATAGGTGGGACTGTAAAATGGTGCAAAAGAAAACAGTATGTAGGTTCCTCAAAAAATTAAAAACAGAGCTTCCATATGATCCAGCAATCCCACTTCTGGGTATACATCCAGAAGAATTGAAAGCAGGGTCCTGAGGAGGTATTTGCACACCCATGTCATAGCAGCACTATGCACAATACCCAAGAGGTGGAAGCGACCCAAATGTCCATCAACAGATGAATGGATAAACTCAATGCGGTACATACATATAATGGAATATTATTCCACCTTAAAAAGGAAGGAAATCCTGTCACAGGCTACAACGTGGGTGAACCTTGAGGACATTATGCTAAATAAAATATACCAGTTGCAAAAAGACAAATACTGCATGATTCCACTTAAAGGAGCTATCTAAAGGCATCAAATTCATAGAAACAGAAAGCAGAATGGTGGTTACTAAGGGATGGGGGTATGTTATTAAGAGAAAGGGGGATGTTGTATAATGGGTATGGGATTTCAGATTTGCAAGATGGGAAGTCCTGGAGATCTGTTTCACAACAGTGTGAATATACTGAACACTACTGGACTGTACACTTCAACACGGTTGAGATGGTAAATTGTATTTTATGTGTTTTTCTTTTACCATGTTAAAAAATAAACCACCTGTACTCTTAAAGCCCAGATTGAGGGGGAGGGGAACATAGACCCCATCTCTCAAGGAGAGGAAAGGCAGAGAATCTGCAGCCAGCTCTACCCTGCCACACCCGCTGTGGGGCAGATCCTGTCTACAGCACCTGAGGGTGTAGATGGTGAGATGTTATTTCCAGGGGACTGTATTCAACCTCCCAGAGATGAAGGGTGTCAGAAGGCACTATCAGAGGTGGGCACAGTTTGAAACAATAGAGTGAGAGAAAATGACTAAGCTTGTATAGCCAATGAGAAAAAATGGCCTGGAATTCCGCCCTTACTCATTTTCACAACAAAGATTCAGCAAGCTATTCTGCTAAAAGCCTGACCACCCCCACGAAGCATTTTTGTCACTTAGACAGTGCCTGCCCCTCAGCTATCCTGACAGTGGGAGCTCCAAGCCCTAACTGAATAGGTCGGATAGGAACAATACGCAGAAGCAGATCACAGGAGACCTTTCAAAGCCGGCAAACACATAGAAAATTCAACGACACCACAGCATTTAGACAGCCTGGACAATGTGGCCGTTATAAATGCTGCTCTCATGAACAGCGATTCAAATGACAGCTTCGTAAAGGGTTTGCAAAGAGCCCTTTGGAAATGGAACATAGGCGACTCGGAGCCCATGACGTGTTACAAGGACAAACCCGGCTGAACAAAGATCCACAGCAGCATTGAATGACTTATTTATTCAGCCCTGCTCTGTACAAACCTGGGAGAAGATGACAGCTTTTAAATCGCCTCCCCTGAGCTTTGCAACATCCATGGTGCGTGGGAAATGTTAGCAAAAGTTTTGAAAAAAGCAGAATGTTTTACAAAGCGAAGATCACAGTGTAACCATGCTAATGCTACCACCAAATTCTGCAGACGGCCCTGGTGTCTCAGAATTATTAGGCAGAAGGAGTGACAGTAACATCTGGAGAGGGAAACTCTGCCCTTTATCCTATTCCACCTGCTGGCTTCACACGTCTGTTTGAAAGGCTAGCCCCTGCCAAGCTTTCTGGTGGAACATTCTTTGTGCGGGCCATTTAAGTGATTGCTGTAGAATTCTAATTGCTCTCCTTTGGCAAAGTGTTCTACTGGTATTGTATAAGGAGTGTTGGTGTTCTGATCAACCCTGGAACACAGGTGCTGTTCTTTTAGCCTAGCACAGGCTGCAGAATTCTCGCATGCCCCAGGGTTCCTGTTGCATGGTGGCGTCACGCACTAGGGAGCTGTGTCTGAGTAACCCCAGCCCAGCCAGCTTTCCCAGGAGGCCTGCTGACAGTGCAGCCTGTGCTCACAGCAGGACTGGGACTAGGGTGAGGCAAATGAGGAGCCTGGCATGCAAAATTTAAGGAGGCCCTCGCCCTGCATTTGCACGACCCTGAGAGTGAGCGCCTCCTTAAATCTCGTACCCGAGGAGCCCCACTTGCCTTCCCTAGTCCAGGCCTGGCTTGCAGGCTTCACTCTCTCTTTTCCCATTCACTCCTCACCTCCCCACCCAAGGTTAGTACTGGGGGTGGGGAGTATAGTCCCAATGTGGACAGTGGTCAACAAAGAAGAGAACTTTAAGAAGGAAGGGCTGAGTAATCGACGGTGAGATTACAGCGAGGGATCTAGTGAGGCATTTGGCTACACGGAGGCTACCCGTGACCCAAGACCAAAGCAGATCCAGGAAGGGTTGGTGATGAATGACTTGTCCTGGTCTGCCCCTCCACCATGGGCCCAGATGGTGGACCGGAAACCGGAAACCCTGTGAGACTGGCCACAGAGGTTCCCTTCCTACAAGAAGGCTCAGGATCTTCCCAGGGAGGTACCTACCCTGTAGGAAGCTCCCTTCTCCCCAGGCTTGTGTGTCAGAACTAAAGCCCTGATCTAAAGCCCTTCCACCCCTGTTTGCTCTCTTCCCAGCCCAGTGGGATGTTATAAAGCCAAATCAGGCAGCTTAGAGCTGCGGAAAGAGAAAGCGGGAGTCTCCGTTTCCGAGATGCTAACAAATGGTTCACACCACGTCAGGCTTTTCTATCGTGAAATCAGGGGTATATTCATTTGCAAACCTAAGACAATGGGGACTCCCTCTCGCCTCCCTCTTGCCCTACATCACACATGTATAGTCCTGAGAAGTACACTTCCTGGGACTACCTTCTCTTCCACACACACGGCCACTTTTCATCGCCCATTTCCCTGTTCTCCTTCCTACACTTACAACCCCACTCCTCCTCCCCTCCCCCACTAGCACCTTTCACAAATCTTACTCGAAAACCCAGGCATGCAGCTTTGTGGATTTTTAAATAGAAAATTATGCGGAGTGAGTGAATTATGCTGGAGTAGTGGAATCATGGACCCACAAGCCCAACTTTGGGTACCATCAAGCAAGAGCACCTACATGACACAGCAACAGAGACCACACCAAGTTCAGAAGTGCCTGTAGCACTATGTAAAGTCCATGGATGGCTTGCTTGTGTTGCTTATCTGAAGAAATCACCCTGCCTGCATGATTCAAGCTCAAAGAATCATTACAGGCTAATCATCATTATGACATGATCATATTTCAATTATCCCCTGGGTAGTCTGGGTACGTTAAAGCAACTTCTCTCACTGAAAGAAGTTCGTTAAAAATCATGAAGTGCATTAAAATTTTTTAAAGCATGTTGGGAAACAACAAGGGGCTAAATTCTAGAAACAACGACAGAATCTTTCAGAGGTTTCCCTAGCACTTATTCAAAAAGCATAATCTTATCTTGAGATGTGAAACGAGGACTAAAACTGAATAATGGGCCAATTGTTTCATTATAATATGTGTTTCTAAGTGCTCTGTGATGTAAAACCCAACAGGCTTTTTTTCTTTCAGCCCCAATGTGGCCAACTAGGTGCACCGACCCATCTTCACAATATATAACGTGCCCTTAAGCCCTGGTCAACAGTGCCAAAGTCTATGAAAATCATACAAAGAATGGAGTCGATCATACTGTTTGTGGTCTCTATCAATATAGGCACAGTCCTTAATATGTTGGAGAAAAGAAAAAGCAGCCATCCCCTGAGCATTTGTCCTAAAGAAAGAATTTAAGAGAACAAATAGTTTTATATGCCAAGATATTCATTATTGATAATAATAAAAAAAGAAACAGAAACGTACCTACATATCTGACATTTGTGAAATCATTGAGAATGTAATATTGAGCGTGGACTGGAGAGGAATGAGAATGGAATGGAATATTATGCAGTCATGAGAAACCGATGCTGATGATGCAGAGTGGGAACGCAGGAAATATGTTTTTAATATAATGTTAAAAATGTCATCTATACTGTGATTCCTACTGTACCAAATAAGTACACATTTTAGATAAGAAATAGAAAGAGACATGGGAAGAAAACCGTTCGTGTCTCAAGGTGATTGGATCATGGATGATTCATCTTTAAAATCATTCCTTTTGTAGCTGTTATAATGTTGATTGGATAAGAAAGTAGAACTTGGAAGGAAAAGGAAAATACTCAAGGAGACATTTTCTATGCCAGGCAGAAAAATCAGTGATGCTTGGGATCGTTTTGCATTCTTCCTTGCTCTTTCAAAGCAGCCTGTCATCTTCACCCACACATAGGGAATATGCATGTCTGGGTTATCAGGGGATCCCCTCACCAGGAAGACTGTGCTGTTTATTTAATGGACCAGAAACCTCAAACTTTTCAAGTCTTTTCTGATAACAAATCTAAAGTGCATTTGAACCATTTGTTGGTGTGGTTTTTCCGTGACAAATATGCACAAAAATCTTGAGGACAGAAAATGATGCATTTCTTCTTTCTCTCTTTTGTCTTTCTCTTCCCCACCCCGTACCCCCTTCTGCAGTTCTGCTAAGCCAATATTCTCTAGAATGAGCACAAAACAAATCAAATAACAGCTAAACAAATTGAATAACAGCTTTTGTACATCAACATCGAGAAGGAAGACGCTTGGGAGAGATCAGAGTACCAAGATGGATATGGGCGAGAGTGAAGCGTCCACTGTCAAAGCACCTTCTAAATCTAGATCGGCAGAGATGGGAGTGATTTTCTGGAAGGAGATGTGATCACGGATTAAACACCAGCTCATTGGAAACTATCATTGAATAAGAGCAGATAATATTCATGAGAAATCACATTCAGGAAATATTTTAAGGAAAAGGAATATAAATGTGCTAGAATTAACATGTAAAATATATATGTACCGAAGTTTGTAAACTGTCCTTTTTTAATCAAACAGAAAACAGAAAGCTTTAATCTTTAAAGATTATTTTAAAAAAGGCAGTCCATCCTAAATTATTCCTATTTCAATAGCCAAGAAGCTGATCAAGCATCAGTTATGGAGGAAGCATCTTGGAAAATGCCTGTGAATGTTTTCATAGGAGCCATGACCTTTGGTTCCCATGTCTGCCGTTCATTTATGTCACTGTGTAATTAGTTAAAACCACTCGGTTAAGAGATGTAACGCTTCAAACTTTTTACCAGTTCTGTGTTCAGTTTAATCTGTCTGTACGTGTTATTACTGAGAAAGTGTTTCTGACATATACTATTACTCCATCAAGCTGTATATTACAGGAAGTACATCTTTACATCATAGTTTCCCGAGCAACATAGATTTCCCTATCTTTCAGGAAACAGCATCAAGGAACTCTGAAAAATATAGAAAGCTCATTTTCACCTTGGATGCTCACATATAATGTATAGGCTGCTATCAAATAAACACTTTTTCTATTTCTCCCTAATATATGCATAGGAATTTAATATACTTTATAAATAACATCTAAAATACCTTCTTTTTTTTCTATTTCTTTGCCATACATAACATCAGAAATCCATATCCGTTCTTTCCCTGACAGGCACTCATTTTTATTTTTAAAAATCACCATTCCATTAAACCCATTTCTAAATGATAGTGAGTGGTACTAAAAAAATAAATAATAATTTAATAGCCTTAGAAATAAATGAATATAAACTTATACAGAAGAAACTTGATAGGAAACTTGATAGGAGTAAGTTGCCTTTTTGTTTACTAATATTGGTTTCAAGAAAACTCAATTTTTTTTTAGTTGGTTGGCATTTAGAAGTAGTGACAAATGATCAGTTGTCTTCAGCAATCTTTTGCTCCCAGGCTTCCCCACCACCACCCTCACCACATATCCTGCCAATACGCAACAACAGAAAAATATTTAATATTGAAGTAGCCAATTGCTTGAGAATGAAAACAAGCTAAAATGTATGTGTGGGGTAGTCAGCGTAAGCCAAACCACGTGCTATACCTGAGCAGAAAACATGAACATGTAGAATGCCTTCATTTTTAGACTCGAAATTAAGATCCAATTAGCATATATCACTGGAGGAGCAGACAGAGGATAATACAAGAAGAATCAAGCAAGATACAGATCATGGTTGTTTTCTCTTACCCTGTCTCTATTAGGACCACACTCCTAGTTTTGCCAAATGTTTCTGGTACTACATCTTTTCACCATAAATGAGATTATGTTTCAAATGGCTAAAAAGTATATTACAGATACAGTCAAATATGTGAAACTCAATTCACAAAGATATGGATTTTCTAAAGAACCAAATTAGGGGAATACTTATTATCTCTAAAGTATTAGCCGTGCTGGGAGTTATTTGTTGCTTTAAATATTAACTCTCCCACTGCATTCAAAACACCCTGCTTACTAAATTCAATTACACACAACTTTTCAAGAATTCATTTTTGATTTAAAGGGAGGTACCTCTCTATTTTATCTATAATGAAAATAGAAGGTATTGGCTTTCTCTAATCAATGTAAATTACAGATTCCACTGGGAGTCCTACAACACTAATAGTGGTGTTTATGAAAATGAAAAAGTGCTTCCTACCCACATGCAAATGTTTTTAAGAAATTTTTTCCATACAACCTAAGTGTAATTTAGCATACCATAGTGCTCTGAAGATGGGTCATTGACAATGTACCATTTGTACATAGGTAATACATGTAAATCACTAAATGTTAAGTATACGAAGTATGTTTTTATCTTTTTTAAAAAAAGTGACTCCCTTTCTCATTCTGTTCTGTTGTATTGCGTCCAAAAGTTGTGTGTAATTTTTTTAAGGTCCAGGATATAAAGAAATTTGTTGGAATATCTGAATTTCTGTAAAAAATAAAAATAAGATTTTGTTATTTAAAAGATTGTTTAGTGGTGTGGCACACATTTGGTACATTCGGCATCTGTCTTTGTCCAGTGATCCAGTGACAGGTGATGATTTGACTGAAATAACTGTCTTCGGAAAAATCTCCTTCCTGTCAGATTCCATAATATTTGTCAATAGCAGACACTTATTGGATGTGCAGGACCCTCATCATGTGGAAAACACGATTAACATCTTCAAAGCCTCTTCTCGCCAAGTATAGATACACCTCAAGCTAAATCTTTATAGACTCAGTGGAATGAAAGTGATAAATGAATAGCCAGACTGTTAAGTAAAACCTGACATGAAATATTCTGAAACATCCAATTAATTGCTCCATCTCGACTTTTGCATATTGAAAACAGCCACCTGTTCCTCAGACATGAGCAGCCCTTTCACAGTAGTTCATATTGAGTATGTGTTGTCTGGGTAGGTCCCAATGCCAGATCCTTCATTTACTGTGTGACCCTAAACAACTCTAACCTCACCTATTAAATGAACACAAATAGTAATGCCTGGGCCCCATAGTGTTGTTGTGAGGCTATAAATTAAGGTATAGTGTTGTGCTGGTGCTTGACTTTTAGGAGATACTCAAAGAATTTTAATTCCTTCCCTCCTACTATAGGCAAGACGTTGAAGAAGAAAAGAAACGTGAAACACAGCCTCTGCTCTCAAAATGTCGAAGATAATTAGGGTAACATTTATGGGTAAGGATTGAAAACTCAATACCTTCCGGAGCCAGGGAGATAAGTAAATTACCAGAGCAAAGCAAGCTGGGGTCGGGAGATAATAGGAAGTAGTGGGCACTGTGGAGCACTGGAGAGCCTAGGTCTTGTCTAAAGAGATGACGTTGCCAATACTCAGCTCTAGTCATTCACCAGATATGCACTGAGTCGCTGCTGTGTGCCAGGAACTGTTCTGAACCCTGGGAAGATAGTGGTAAACCAGACAAACAAGGTCCCTGCTCTTGTAGGTCTCATGTTCTAGTAGGAAAAGAGATAATAAACGGGAAAATGTCAGTTAATGATAATAGGTACCCTAGAGGGAATTAAAACATGGTGATGAGATGCAGAAGTTGGGAGGTGAATCAAGGAAGACTGCTCTGAAAAGGTGGCATTTAAAGTGAGACCTGAATGATGAGAACAAGCCAGCCAGGGGGAGCCACTAGTTTAATGGCTCTAAGGCAGGAATAAGGTCACTACTCACGAGGAACAGCAAGGTGGCAGGGAGGGGATGTGAGCTGTGCCAGGAACCAGCTTCCAGTTTGGTAGGCCAGAATGGATGGTACGTTTTTTAAGTGTTAGAGAAAGCCATTTGAGGGTCTTAATAGGAGAGAGATGGAAACCATCTTACATTTTTAAAAGATTACTCTTGGCTTCTGCTTCTAGCAGTATGACCTAGGTACTCTAAAAAGCCTTCCTCACACTATTCTACCAGGTCTTGGATAAATTACAATGAGCTTATTTTATTTTTTTTTTTAATTTTTGATTTTGTATTGGAGTATAGTTGATTTACAATGTTGTGTTTCGGGTGTACAGCAAAGTGATTTAGTTATACATATTCACATATCTATTCCTTTTCAGATTCTTTTCCCGTATAGGTTATTGCAGAGTATTGAGTAGAGTTCCCTGTGCTATATAGTAGGTGCTTGTTGATTATTTTATATATAGTAGGGTATGTATGTTAATCCCAACCTCCTAGTTTATCCCTCTCCCCACTTTCCCCTTTGGTAACCATAAGTTTGTTTTCTAAGTCTGTGAGTCTGTTTCTGTTTTGTAAACAAGATCATTTGTATCATTTTCTTTTAGATTCCACGTATAAGTGATATCATATGACATTTGCCTTTCTCTGTCTGATTTACTTCACTTACAGTAATCTCTAGGTCTAACCATGTTGCCACAAATGGCATTATTTCATTCTTTTTTATGGCTGAGTAATATTCCATTGTATATATGTACCACATCTTCTTTATCTATTCATCTGTCAGTGGACATTTAGGTTGCTTCCATGTCTTGGCTATTGTAAATAGTGCTGCAGTGAACATTGGGGTGTATGTATCTTTTTGAATTATTGTCTTCTCCAGATATATGCCCAGCAGTGCAATTGCTGGATCAAGTGGTAGCTCTATTTTTAGTTTTCTTTTTTTTTTTTTTGCGGTATGTGGGCCTCTCACTGTTGTGGCCTCTCCCATTGCGGAGCACAGGCTCCGGACGTGCAGGCTTAGCGACCATGGCTCACGGTAGCAGCCGCTCCACGACATGTGGGATCTTCCCAGACCGGGGCACGAACCCGCGTCCCCTGCATCAGCAGGCAGTCTCTCAACCAGTGCGCCACAAGGGAAGCCCCTATTTTTAGTTTTTTAAGGAACCTCCATACTCTTCTCCATAGTGGCTGTACCAGTTTACATTCCCACCAACAGTGCAAGAGGGTTCCCTTTTCTCCACACCCTCTCCAGCATTTATTGCTTGTAGACTTCTTGATGATGGCCATTCTGACCGGTGTGAGGTGATACCTCATTGTAGTTTTGATTTGTATTTCACTAATAATTAGCAATGTTGAGCATCTTTTCATGTGCCTGTTGGCCACCTGTATGTCTTCTTGGAGAAATGTCTATTTAGTCCTTCCACCCATTTTTTGATCGGGTTGTTTGTTGTTTTGATATTGAGCTGCATGAGCTATTTGTATGTTTGGGAGATTAATCCCTGTGGGTCGCTTCATTTGCAAGTATTTTCTCCCATTCCATAGGTTGTCTTTCTGTTTTGTTTATGGTTTCCTTTGTTGAGCAAAAACTTTTAACTTTAATTACGTCCCATTTGTTTATTTTTGTTACAATGAGCTTATTTTTAATAGACAGCTTGGCTTGCAAGGAAGTAAGAGAAATCCCAAAGTCATAAAAAAGAAAAAGAGTAAAAAGTAGCATGCACTGTAAGCAAATGCAAAATCCATGTATCAGAGTAGGGAATGGGAGGAGGCTAAGCCTTGGGCCACTGCAAGTAGATGGGCTAAATTTGAGAATCTCTCCCTAGACCAGGACATTTGAAGATGGCCATAACCTTAGACAAGGGTGGCCTAGGAAGAATATTCATGCTAGCAAACCAAAGAAGCTTATCAAGAAGTCTGTCTCCACACTGATTCTAGATAGGGTGAAAAAGAAAAAGAGGAATAGTCACCCTCTGAAATTTTTAACCCATGAAACTGGCCCCCTCTAGTCTGGAATTCAATCTTACACTCTCCATATAATCAAAGAAACTCCAAACCAAGAAATCAAAGAACTTGCTAGAGCACTGGTAGCTGGCAGATCTCAGGCACACAGATCTCACCAATTATGTTCAACAAAGTAAGTGCTCACAATATTAAAATTACTAAACACACAAATAAACCATGAGACAGAATCATCAGAAATAATTAACAGATTTATTGCCCCAGAGATTTTAGATATTGGAATTACTATATAGAGAATATATATAATCATGTTTTATATGTAAAAGAAATAAAGGTGATTTCTAAAAAATAAAAAAATGTAAAGAATCCATTAGATACAACCAGATAGATTTGAAGCAAAATGCTTAGAATTGAAAAATATGATCCCTGAAATTTAAAATATGATTTGTAAATTAAATATAAATTAGGTGTAATTGAAGAGGAAAGTTGTGAACTAGAAGACAAATCTAAAGAAGTTTCCCAGAATGAAATACAGAAAGCCAAGGGGTTGGAAAATAAAAAGAGGCTAAGCATCAGGGAAGATATATGTGTCTAATCAGAGTTCCACTAGGAGAAATAAAATAATGGAAAGACAATATTTGAATAGAAATTGTTTGAAAATTTTCCATAAATGATGAAAGATATGAATCCACACATATAGGAAGTATGATAGATATCAAGCAAGATAAATGAAAAGTAAATTCAAGCCTGACAGTAAAAGTGTAGTCCAAAGTTAGAGGAACTACCATAAAAGTAACCAAAGAGAAATGTATACCACCTACAAAAGAACAATTTCTAGACTGAAAATAAATACCAGAGACATTAGCATAATATATTCAAAGTGCTGAAGTAAAATAATTGTCAGTCTGAAACTGTGTTTCAGCAAAACTCATTTTTCTCATTAACAGTTTTTTTAAAAATTATAGTTGATATACAATATTATATAGCAAAACTCTTTTTTAAGACCAAAGATGGAATACAATCATTTTCAGATAAATGAAACCTAAGGGGATTTACTAGCAATAGACCAACACAGATAAAATTTCTGAAAATGAGTCAAGAAGTATGGTTTGAGGGACTTCCCTGGTGGCGCAGTGGTTAAGAATCTGCCTGCCAATGCAGGGGACATGGGTTCGAGCCCTGGTATGGGAAGATCCCATATTCTGCGGAGCAACTAAGCCTGTGCTCTACAACTGTTGAGCCTGCACTCTAGAGCCTGCGAGCCACAACGACTGAGCCCGTGAGCCACAACTACTGAAGCCCACATGCCTATAGCCTGTGCTCCACAACAAGAGAAGCCACTGCAATGAGAAGCCTGCGCACTGCAATGAAGAGTAGCCCCCGCTCGCCGCAACTAGAGAAAGCCTGCGTGCAACAACAAAGACCCAATGCAGCCAAAAATAAATAAATAAAATTAATTAATTAATTAATTTTTAAAAAAAGAAGTAAGGTTTGAGATTCAAAAAGGAATAGAGGGCTTCCCTGGTGGCACAGTGGTTGAGAGTCTGCCTGCTGATGCAGGGGACACGGGTTCGTGCCCTGGTCCAGGAGGATCCCACGTGCCGCGGAGCGGCTGGGCCCATGAGCCATGGCCGCTGAGCCTGTGCGTCCAGAGCCTGTGCTCTGCAACGGGAGAGGCCACAACAGTGAGAGGCCCGTGTACCAAAAAAAAAAAAAAAAAAAAGGAATAGAGAGCAAAGACTTTGGGACGTGTGAATAAATCTAAACAAACATTGTACAAATTAATAATAAAACAATTTGTGGAATAAAAAAAGACAACTAAAATACTGGGTAACAA